CAGGGAGTTGTTGTTAGGAGTGGATGAGATGGAAAGTATTTATGAAAATGAGGACATTTAATTTGAGAAGTGTAATATCTAGTTCGGAATCAGAAATTTTACCATTTAGTTTAGTGTTTATTCTTTGATATTCTTGGCTTTCATTGTGCCTTTGGTTATAATCAGTGTGAGTAGGAACATGACAATTTGAACGAGCATAATTAACTAATTGCGTGAGATTTTTCCCGCCCATATCTGGCAAATTATTTAAATCAATAACCCCTAAGTGAGTTTGGGCGTTGTTTATTGTAGTTTGAGCGTTTGGTAAATCACGATAAGCGTTTTTGTAAGGTTCTAAATTAATTGATGTTAGGTCGGAAATATTATTGAGATAAGATTTGGCATCATTAATTTCACTATTAGCGGCGTTCAAATCAAAATTAAGTCGAGCATTCTCTACCATTAAATCATTTTTTTCAGTAGTTAATGCTTCTTTTTCGGCCAGACTTTTCTTGGTTATATTTTCTAATTTAGTTTTCTTGTCTTTTTGGTTCTCGGTTAATATTTGGTCATATCCTTTTTGAATGTTTTGAAATAATTTTTCTCATTCAGCAATCTTTCGTAATTCCTCTTTGCTTTGCCAAAGTTCATTTTGCAACGAATAATTTTCTTGTTGTTCTTCTGATAAAGCATTCTTAGTGTTTGTTAATTCAGAAGATACTGATTTGTATTCTTCTTTTAATTCCTCAACTTGCTTATTTAGTTTTTTTATAGTTGCTTGGTCGGCTAAGGAATTATTATTAGTAGCCTGCAATTTTCTTTCTAATTGACGAAGATTTTTGGTTTGTTCCCTCAATTCATCTTTTTTTTGTTTTAATTCTTCCGCTAATTCCTTTATGCTCTCATTTTTCTTTTCATTGTCATCAAGTAGGCTCTGATAATTATTCTTAACTTCGGCCAATTCTTCAGCAGTTGGGCGACTACTTAACTTCGTTTTTAACTCAGCAATATTTTCTTGGTTTTCGGCTATTTTCTCATTAAGTTTAATAATTGCTAACTCTTTTTCTTTAACTAGTTTTTGATTGAGTTCGCTACTTTTTTCTCAACTCTTTTTCTCTTTTTCGCTAATAAGGGATTTCTTTTCCGCTTGTTCGGTTTTCTCTTTTTGTTGTTCCAGTTCCGTTTTGGTTTCGGCCAGTTCCTGCTCGAGTTGCTTTTTGGCTTGGTGGGCGACTTGGACTTTGGTTTCCAGGACTTGGGTTTTTTCTTTTTGTTCGTCCAACTTTCTTTCAAATCCCTCTTGGAGACCCATTCCTTGTATTTTAAGTTCTTCCTCCATCTTCTTCTTGACCTGCTTGATTTCCTCTTTTGCTGCTGTTAAATCCTTCTCTCGTGCTGATAAACTGTTCTCCAAAGAATAAATTTCTCTATTCTGTTTCTCCACTTTATTTTCTAAATATTCTTTTCTTTCTGAAAGTTCATTTGCCCGTTCACTTTCTTCCTTTAAACTTTTATTTAAATTGTCCGCATTTGCTTCATAATCTCTCTTTTCTTGTTCCAATTCATCATATTTTTCTTGGAGGATGGCTAGTGATAATTGAACTTCCTCTAACGCTTCTTTTGTTATTTGAACCTCTTTTGTTTCTGCGTAGATTTCCGTCTTAACTCTCGTTATTTCAGTTTCTTTACCTTGAATTGTTAATTCTAATTCATCTATTTTGCTTTTTAATTCACTGATTTCCTTTTCTTGTTCCACCATTTTTAATTCTTGGTTTCCCTCCGAGTCTCCCTCCGAAAAAACCGGCCGGTTGCTTTTTAATTTTTCAACCTCTTCGAGAAGTAATTCTAGGTTTCTTTCCATTTCCTCCTTTCCGGGTCAGTTAGTAGAAGCATTCGAAGCCTGGCTACCCGTTTTAGAAAGAGAAACTGAAAGTACTGTTTTAAGTTTTGAAAAACTAAGGAAAGGAGGGGAGGAGGAGGAAGAGGAGGAGGATTTTATGGAATTAGCCCGTCTCCGAGTAGTAGGGTTGTTTTCTTTTGGTAGGTGGCGGTCAGCTCCTTCTTCTTCGCTAATTGTTTCCAAGTTAATTTCGGGAAGTCGCTGGGCGGCTAATTCTGCTTTTAATTTTTTGATTTCTTCCTCTCTTTCGGCTAGTTGTTTTGAAAGTTCTTTTTTTATTTCGGTTAGTCTACCACTTAGCATTCTTTCATTAAAGTTTTCGAGTGCTAGGTCTTTTAACGCCTCATCTTTGGCTTTTAATCTATTATCATATTCTTCAATCAACGACGGCGAACTAGGGAATCTTTCATCTTCACTACCATTACCATTTTTATCGTTAGGATATAAACTGGTGGAACTTTCACTAGTGTTAGTATCTCTTCTGGTTGGCGGGATTGGTGCTTTTACCACAATTGTCTTATTCTTATTCTTATTCTTATTCTTATTCTTATTCTTATTCTTATTCTTATTCTTATTCTTATTGTCTTCGTAGCCAGTTGGGGATTGGAGTTTTGCTGTGTCTGAAAAATAACTATCAGTAGGGCTGGCCGCGGGGTCCTTACCTTTTCACCAATCACCCAAATTCTCTTTTTCTCCGCTGGAAGAAATACTATTAATACTACTCTGGCGGTTAAACGAGTATCGACGGTCAAAACTCAGCGAACTGCGGCGGGAACTGGCTATTTCTCTCTCTAACTCGGCGTTTCTTCTTTTAACGGTTTCATAACTATCTTTTAAAATTTTAACGGCTGCTTTGTCATATTTTTTAACACAACTAACAGTATTGTTCTCATTATCGGTTTCGGTGTCCGAAAGAGTTATGACTGTCTCGCTTTTTAATTTTTCGATTTCCGCGGCTTGTTTTCAGTTTTTTTTGGCTAATTCGTGAATGTCAGGAACTAACTTGTTATATTTTTCTGTTAATTTTTCTAATTTTTCTTCTTGTTCTTCGCTTTTGTGTCGCCAACTTACTATTTCAGCATTATTTTTGTTCGCTATCTCCTTAAAAACTATTTCTGATTTTTCTAATTCCTTTCTGAGTCTGGTAATTTCTTCGGCTTCTTGCTCTCGCTTAATTTTTGCTTGCTCCGCTGCTTTTTTGGTTTGCTCGGTGAAAAAATTTTCTCTTTCCTCGCGGGCTTTTCTCTCCGCCACCGCCATTGCTCTTTTTAATTTGGTTAATTCTTTACTTTTTTCTTCATTCCCATTCCGCAACTGACTAATTTCATCTTCTAACCGGGCAATTAATTTTTGCTCTTTTTCTAGTAATTTACTATTTTTTTGGTCTTGTTTGCTAGTTAAACTGGCTTGCTCGGATTTTAACTGTTCATTTTCTGCTTTTAATTCTTCAATTTTGGTTTGGTATTCTAAATTTGCATTACTTAACAATGTCCCATATTCGCCGGCTACATGTGCGGTTATTCTTAATTCCTGTTTTTCTGCTTCTAATGTCTTAATTGTTGTTTCTAACTCGGCTGTTTTTTCCTCTAAATTACTAATTTGTGTTTTTAATTCGGCAATTTCTCCGTGCCAATTTTCCTCAGTCAAGTCCAAACTTCTCCTTTTTTTCTGAGTAGTTGTCTTTGGGTCATCCTCTCCATCAGCGAAAAATTGTAAATCTAATTTAAAAAATCCTTGTGGTGGGATATTTGACTTCCCGAGAGTGACCGTGTTGCGAGAGTTTATTTTTGCTCTCTCTCTCTCTCTCTCTCTCTCTGTATCATTATTATTCTTATTTTTTAATTCTTCTCAACAACTTGGGTGATAATTATTGCCTTTTGATGTCTTACTACACTCTTCACCATACTTAAATTTTTGCTGGCAATAATCGCACTTAATGGCTCTATCACAAACTTCTAAATGTTTATCGACTAATGGTTTAAGGGCTTTTTGTTCTTTTTCTTGCTCGTTCCTGCTTAAACAATCTGGAGAATGAATAGTATAAGTATTTCCGCCACAAGAGCAATAAACATTACCTTTGATATGTGGTTTACCACAATTCATACAATTTTCTCCAGCACAAAAACACTTTTGCTCCCAAGTAAAATCCCTTCCTTCTTCGATTATTTTATTACAGTGAGGGCAGTTTCATCCTTTTACTGACATGATATTAAAACTATATATATATTTTATAAAAATGAGAACAAAAGTAAAATTACTATATAATAAATCAATATTATGAATAAGAGAGTTAATAACGAAAAAGAAAAGAAGTTAAGTCTTCAAACTATTGAAAAGATAGAGAAGATTTTAGAAAGTAATAAAAAACCTAATGAGAAGAAAATTGCTTTATTTAATGTGATAAAGAATTTAAAAGTAGGAGAAATGAAACCTGACAAAAAGAAAAGAATAAACTATCTACTTGAAGGTCATTTACATGCTGAATTAGCAAAACAATACATGAGGGAATATAAAAAAGAAACTGCTAAAAGTTTCAGTAAAGTTCTGTAATTTTTAAGTTTTAGATTGAATATAGTGGAATATATTGCTAAAATTGTCAAGACAGAGAAAAGCAAAAATAAACAATTTTGGCGATATACTTTCCTTGATATAGAAACCGAAAAAACAGATTGGTTCATCAGCAATTATCGAGTAGGTTATATCCCTAACTTACCCGGAAAACTAATACTTACTCTAGACAAAAGCGGTAAATATAAACTTTACCAATCATTCGAACAAGACCTTACTAATCTTATTGAAGAATTTAAGGAGGAGGAAATAGATTGATTGGAAGAAAGTTTAGAGGAAGAAGTTGAAAAACTAGACAAGTTTGCTAAAAGACCAATTAAATATAAACATCGAGACTATGTTGAGTTCATAGAAGGAATAAAACGAGAAGGAGTGCCTTGAAAAATAATTGCTAAATTAGAGAAAAAAACTGATAGAACCTTACGATACAGAAGAGCAAAGATTACTAAACCACTCCAAAAGGCAGGGAGGAAAAGACTATTTGGTAGAATACATCTTTATCATTTAATTCATTCTATTCAAACTAGAAAAGCAAAAACATTAATAGAAATATCAGATTATATTTTTCAAAAAACAGGTTTAAGAATAAGTAAATCTACTATTCATCTGACATTGAAAAGGATTAAGTATTCTTACCAAGTAATTCCTTATCGCCACCCAAAACAGAAATATAATTTGCCTGAAGTTATTGAGTTTATGGAAAGGGCAAATAAATTGCCTCCTAGGCAGATTTTAGCCACTGATGAAAGCGGTCATCCTTTAAATCTAGCTCTTAAAAGAGGTTGAGGTTTGAAAGGAGAGAAAATTGTTGACTTCAAACCCAGTTATGGAGTTAATTATTCCCTAATTTTATTGATTAGAAATGTAGAAAAAGGAGGTGTTATTCATTGAGAATTGATTAAAGATGCTGTAAATGCTGAGGTTTTTGCTAATTTCCTTGCTAGGGTTGAACTTTCTAATGAGGGGAAACATTATCTTTTATTGGATAATATTGCTTTTCATAAATCCATCAAGGTTAAAGAATTATTAACTAAAAAGAATATCGAACCTAGATATATCGTGGCTTCTAATCCTTATTTAAATCCAGTAGAGGAAGTTTTTAATGTGATTAAGCAATATGTTCGAAAACAGAGACCAAGAACAGAGGAAGAATTAAGGTCGGCAGTTAGTAAAATTATAAATATACTTAATCAGCAGGATTTAAGAAAGTATTTTAAAGACTGCTTGGATTTTGATTTTATTTGAAAAAACGGAAAATAATTTTAGGAAAAGTAGTATGTCTGCTTTTAACGAACTTTTTGTCAAAAAAGGAGTGTTGAAAGTTATTACCCTTACTCCTGAACTTTGCTTAGTTATTTTTAAGTGAATATATTTTTTATCTTGCCAAAATTGGGAGTTTTTTTCGGGTCATTCAATAATGTTTAAATTGTCAATTGCTTGTTCTTGAAAAATTTCTAAATTGTCATTAGTATTGAGACGAAAAAAGTCGAAATGATTTAAATAATAATTATCTTTTATCTGATATCTTTGACAAATAGTAAAAGTGGGCGAGGTTACTTTTTCTTTAATTTCCAGATTTTTGGCTAGCAATTGGGTCAAGGTGGTTTTGCCGACCCCCAATTCGCCTTGTAAAACTAAATAAACATTAGGTTGAAGAAACGGAATTAAAAGTTTACTCAATTTTTCCAGTTCCCCCAAACTTTTTATTTTTTTCGTAAATATCATTTTGCCGATATAAGGCATTTTAATAATTATTGTTTTTGCCGCTTAAAAATTGTTTTTCTTTTTTTTCTAATTATCAAAATTGTGGCTAAAATTACTGCTGAGAAAATGCCCACTCCAATCAGAATAACTTTTTCATGACCTCCTTGTGGTGAGGCTGTTGTTTTTGTGAAGTTTTTTTGGTTTCGTTTCTTCTTTAAATCCTTTATGTGATTTTCCAGGCCATTAATTTCTTTTTCTAATTCATTCTTTTTGGCGGGACTGTCTGTATTAGCGATTTGCTTTTTTATATTTTGTAATTCGTTTTGGGAATTGGCAATTTCCGCTTCAATTTCCTTGTCAGCATTATCTTTTTTATCGGGTTCGTTTGATTGGTCATTATTTTCCTGGCTTGAGTTGTTTTTTTTGTTAGGCAGTTTAGACATACTCTTCAACATACAGTTTGACGAACAAAATTTTACTTTCTCTCCATTTTTGCCTGTTAGGAGATAAGTCGTGCGATTATATTCGTTTTCCTTCCAAATCATATTTTTTCCACAATTAGCACACTTTTCGGGTTCATTTGAGTTAGGGATAGTAGGTTTGTCTCTCTCTCTCTCTCTCTCTCTCTCTCTCTCTTGCCGTCATTCTTGCTTCTATCCTTTTCTGCTTGTTCTCTGTCTTTGTGTCGTTTTTCCGCTTCCTCTCTATCCTTTTTCGGGTTAATTTCTATTTTAAACTCATCCGGTTGGTCCCCATTTCCTTTTTTGTAGTTTCAATGCTTATCAAAATCTTTGCTGCCGACCTCACAAAAACCACCGTCCTCACTATTCCCAAAAAAAATAATTTCGCGGGCTTGTTTTTTTAGTTGGGGGCGAATAAATGCGATAAATATCTTCTTCTTCATAAATTTCCCCGTTCATACTATTTCCTAATTCATAGGTAGTGTGAAGATAGTCCGAGCCATCTCCCTTGTATTCTTTTAACTTTTCTAATAATTTTTTGTAGTCCATAATTTTATTTCTTTATTTATTATATATTATACAATTTATTATTTTAATATTTTAGTTCTTTGTTTTCAGAAAAAAAGTAAAAATTATTAAAGTGGAGGTGTGTCCGAGCGGCTTAAGGAGATAGTCTTGAAAACTATTAATACGTAAGTATTCAAGGGTTCGAATCCCTTCGCCTCCTCCATAAAATTATGAATTTTTTTCACTACTGTTGGAATTTATGTTATGCTACCAGTAAAAAAATAGGTATTGCTCTTTGCCATTTAATTTTTATTACCTTATTTTGTACTTTGCCCCATGAATTAGGACATACAATAGCAAGGAATTGCTTTTCCCACAAGGTTGAGTATATAATGCTTGGTTTTGGTGGTTCTTCGCGGTTCTCTTTTAATTTAATATATAAATTTAAACTTGGTAAGATACCTCTTATCTTTGGTTATACTCGGTATGGAAGTTATATAAATAATTAAAAAAAAGATTTAATTTCAGCTTCGGCTGGATTGATAATGAATTTATTATTAGCCTTATTGGCCTGGTGACCCGAAAGCAAGATAGAAAATAAGTTTTGAAAGAAATTTTTCCGCCTAGTTAAGGAATACAATACTTTAACTATCATTTATAATTTTCTGTTTTCTCCTCTTTTAAATCCTAACTGTGATGTAAGAAGAATATTTTCCTTGCTATTTCGCCGAGGTTAAATTAGATTGTGCCAGAAAAATTTAGCAAATAAGAAAATAATTTAAAATAAATAATATATGGAAAAAGTAGCTGTCATTAATAATAAAGGTGAAGTGGTGAATAATTTTTCGCTTAATTCGGACGTATGAGAAATTCCTCTTTCGCGCTGAAATATTTCCCTCGCTAATCGTTATTATTTGGCTAATCAACGGCAAGGAACAAAAAAAACCAAAAGGAAAGGTGAAGTGTCAGGTGGTGGAGTTAAACCATGACGACAAAAAGGAACTGGACGAGCCCGTTCTGGTTCGATTCGTAATCCGCAATTTCGTGGCGGTGGGGTAGTTTTTGGACCAACTAGCGAGGAAAATTATTCGCTAGACATTAATAAAAAATTGAAAAAAAAAGTCCTTCAATCGCTTTTGGGCGAAAAAATGAGAAATAAAGAAATAGTAATTGTTGATAAACTGGCATTAGAAAACTATAAAACCAAAGAAGCCAAAAAATTGCTCGATGTTTTACCAACCAAAGAAGCTAAAACTCTCATTGTTTTAGCTGATAATGAAGAAAACAAAGCCAAAATAATCTGTTCGTTTCGCAACTTACCTTATGTAAATATTAGTGATAGCAAGTCAGTTAACACCTCGCAAGTATTAACTCCCGGTTATCTCATTTTTACTCAGTCAGCTTTTTCGGAAATAGAAAAAAGATTAAGTTAAAAATTACAAATACATGTTAGACCAAATAATATCAGGAACAATATCAGGAACTTTGAGTGGAATAATAGTAGTTTTGGCTCAAAGGCGCCTAGACAGAAGAGTAAAAAAATTGGAAGAAAAAGAGTAGGAAGAGTACAGTGGATTGAGTAAAACACTTATTGTATTTAAAAAAATGCACGTAGACAATTCAAGGCAATCCTTCTGATTTTCTAACAATCCAGACTTGCGCGAGATAACTCCAAATGGAGAGATGAATGAAGAATATAATCTCGCTTTCAAAATGGCTAGAAAATGATTGAATAAGTTGCTGGTTAAAAGTTCTAAGTATGACAAAGATGATTCCTTTATAGCAGTGTGTAACCATAAAGAAAATCATTCTTATTCATATTTAAGTTGAGGAAAATACAAAGAAATTGTAGAGAAAAGCGGGAATTATTTTAAATATTTAGATAACCTAAAAAAAGATAGCAATAATGTCGACAGACGCTGTGAAGTTTTATTTTCAATAGAGCAAATTAGTTCTTTTTGTTCAAAAGTAAATGCTGAAATTTTGTAAATTTGTTTTTATCGCGATATTCTCTGCTTTCAAAAAAACATTTAAAATGAATTAAGTAGGAGAACCTGCAAAAAAATAATATTAATAAAACTATGTCAAACCAAATAATTAAATGTGCTAAATGCCAACAAAATGCAGAACAAGACTGAAATCGTTTTAGAGATGAGTATACTACTAGTTATCCCATTCGCGATAAAGATGGAAAAATCTACTGCTGAGATTGTTATAAAAGTAAGTCTAGTTGTAAAGGGTGTGGTAAATCAGTGGCTAATATAAAATTCCCACAGAGCGGACAACCTGCTTATCCTCATTGTAATGGTGGAGTAAGTTATAATTGTGAGCGAATAAGCAACGATGTCAAGTTTATTTGTTCGAAAAAATGTTCCCAAGATATTGCAGAAAAGGAATATCAAGACTGAAAGAATAAGTTGGGTCAAGGCTGAACCAAGTGTGAAAAATGTATAAAAAGGGTTAAAAAACTCATTGAATGATTTGAAGAAGATGGTATAAAAAATTCTGAATGGTTAAAAGAGGAAAGAGGGCAAAGTCGGTTTATCAAATTAGTTCCGCCTGGTCAAGGTAAATTATGTTTGGAGAAATGAGGTTGTAAATGAGGCAAGGAAGTAGGAAAACCAAGACTAAAAGAAATACGAGCCCAAGCCCAGAAATATTGGGAAGGTCTTTCTTATGACGAGAGATTGAGAGAAGTAATTAGAAGTAAAGATGCCAAACAAGTCGCGTGGGGTGGAAAATTTGAAAATTTAACCGCCGAGCAAATTGCCACCCAAAATGAAGTACCAAGCGGGATACGTAAAGAATTTGAATTGAAGGCTTGTCACCATGATTGTTCCGATTGTCATTTAGATAAGGATTTCCAAAAATCAAGTGATAATAATAACCTTTCTGCTTTTTCGTCAGTAAGCGAAAATAATAACGAAGCAAAAAGGGAAGAAATTGCTAAGAAATTGGTCGAAGCCAAAACGCAAGGCATTGACAAAAAGGAAATAGAGAGATTACGCTCCGAACTTCAAAAATTAAACCAACAAAAAGAAGGGATAACACCAGCCAAAAATAATAATGAGTTGATTTTAGGGATAGTAATAATATTTTCTGTTTTTGTCCTAATTTCAGGGGTTATTTTGATTAGTAAAAAAAAGAACAAACGATAAAAATTAATTAATATGCTAATCCAAAAACCACTTTTAACCGAAAAAGGTCAATTACTTTACCAAAAAAATAAAATTTATGCTTTTTATGTGCTGCCCTCAGCCAATAAATTTCAAATTAAGCAGGAATTAGAAAAAATGTTTCAAGTAAAAATAAAAAAAGTTCGCACTAGTCGCCACAAGCCCGTTTTGCGACAAACTCGCTATTTACAAAAATCACCAACTAGAATTTATACCAAATTGAAAAAAAAAGCCTTTGTTGAACTAATGCCGGGACAAAAGTTAGCAAATTTTTTTGAAGAAGAATTAAAAAATTAATAATATATGATGAAAACAGTCAAACCCTTAGCCAATTCTAGTCGTAATACTATTCTTATCGATTATCGGGAGAAATTAGTTCCTAATTCTCAAAAATCCCCCCGACAACTTCTTAAATTAATTCAGCCGCAATCAGGACGGAATAATCAAGGGAAGATTACCATGCGTCATCAAGGAGGTCGCCACAAGCGATTTTACCGAGTTATTGACTTCAAACGTTATGAAAAAGACAACGTAGAAGGCAAAGTAAAAAGTATTGAGTATGACCCTAATCGTAATTCTTTTATCTCGTTGATAAGTTACCGAGATGGCAGTTTTACTTTCATAATTACTCCAGAGGGGTTAAAAATTAATGACCAAATAATAAGCGGAAGCAACGAAAATATTCCCTTAAAAATAGGTAATAATTTGCCTCTGTCTTATATTCCGGTTAATATTCCTATTCACAATTTGGAGTTGAAACCCCAAAAAGGTGGGCAGTTAATCCGCGGTGCTGGTACTTATGCTGAGATAATTGGTAAAGAGGAGGGCAACAAATATGTCTTAGTAAAATTAATGTCGAAGGAAGTTCGAAAAGTGTTGGCAACTTGCCGAGCTACAATTGGTAAAGTAAGCAATAGTGAAGCCAATTTGGTCAAATTAGGGAAAGCTGGTCGCAGCCGTTGACGAGGAATTCGTCCGACTGTACGAGGCTCAGCTATGAACCCTTGCGACCATCCTCATGGTGGTGGCGAACAAAAAGCCGGTATTGGTCACCCCTCACCGCTTAGTCCCTGAGGAAAAAAAACCTTAGGTAAAAAAACCCGCAAGAAAAATAAACCATCCAATAAATATATCGTTAATCGTCGTAAAAAATAAAACATTAGTGGAAGCGGAAATAAACAAAAATAAAAAGAATAATTACTGAACTATATTAGCGGTTGTTCTCTTATTCGTGGTCGCTGCTTGGATATTTTCTCAACAAGAAATCAAGCCCAAAAAAATACCAATGACAGACTAACCTTTGCACCCAATGCAGAAAACTCTCTCAATTGTATCATTTTATCTATGATAAAATTACCGGAAAATTAGAAAAAAATTATCTTGGTAATGCGACTAACCCGGATTCCCAATGAGTTTTTTGCACTTGAAAATGTTATGATGATTGATGAAATGAAAACGTCTATAATTGTTCGGAATGTTGCCAGCAAAGATTTGGAAACTGTTCTTGTTGTGGTAAATATCACTCTTGAATTCAAGAAAATAATGCATTCTGTTCGAAAGAGTGTGTTAATAAACATTACCCAGCAACCTATGAAGAAGGGAAAATAAAATCAATTGGGGGAATAGCAGGGAAAATCAGTGCGGCCGTCGAAAAAGGCTGTGACACTATCGTTATTCCTAAAAGTAATTCCTCTGATTATCGTGATGAAGTTCCTTTGTCCATCCGAACAAAAGTTAAAAAGCTACACAAAGTAGAAAATTATGAAGACCTCAAAAATCTTTTCCTCGCTGGCTTATAACCAAAGTTTAAAATTAATAATATAATATGTCTCGTTCGTTAAAAAAACCATTAAATGTTAATGAAAAATTGCTGAAAAAAGCAAAGACAGCCAACCAAGAAGGAAAAACTAAGGCCTTTAAAACATGGGCTCGTGGTTCAGTAATTAGTCCGGAAATGATTGGTCACACTTTGCTTATTCATAACGGGAAAATATTTTTTAAGCGACAGGTTACCCAGGATATGGTGGGTCATAAAATTGGGGAATTTTCCCCCACTCGTCAGTCTGGACAGCACGGTAAAGCCGGAAAGCACTAAAATCTTAAGTATATTTATTTCTCATGGAGTCAATCATTATTAAAAGTTCAGCAATTTCTATTTCACCCCAAAAGTTAAATCTGGTAGCAGAAATAATCCGAAAAAAAGAGTTGGATTATTCTTTAAAAATTTTAGAATTTTTACCAAAAAAAGGCGGACGAATACTGCACAAACTATTAGCCGGAGCCGCCAAGAATTTAGAAAAAAGCCAAGAGGAGACCGCCAATTTCTATCTTAGCAAAATCGAAGTAAACCGGGGGAGAATACAAAAAAGAGTAATATACCGAGCTAAGGGTCGTACTAATCGTATTAGAAAAAGATATAGTTTGGTGAATTTGCATTTAAGTAAAAAGGAGAAAACACTAAAATAAATACATATTAAAATTCAACACATAGCAAAAACCATATGGCAATGAAATGTAATCAACAACAAAAATGTAATGAATGTAAAAAAAATTTTTGGTTAGGAGAACTTAACCAAATGGAAAATTATCAAGAGAAGGGAATTTTTTGTGATAATTGCCTAAATAAGACAGAAAAAAGGTGTCGGCGTTGTGATAAATTATTTGTCAATAGAGAACTAACTGCCAAAGAATTCAAAGAGCATGAAGAGTGGAAAAAATTACTTAAAGAAGAGTATGGAAAGGAGCCAGAAAACTTTAATCTTTCCTTAGGTTTTTGCCATGGCGGCGCTCCTTGTCATATAAAAGTTAATAAAGGCTGCCACGGTCATAGAATTAAACAGAATGGTATTTTTTGTTCTTCTGAATGTAGTAACGACTGATACAAAATAATTAACAAACGCAGCAAAAAATTTAAAGAATGAAAATCCGCCGCCGAAAAAAGGGGTTGGCGGAGGTGTCAGGAAAAGGACCACATTCGTAATCCCCAAACAGTTAAATGACTATTAGAAGACTTAAAATGAAATAAAAAAAAGTTGGCTTGCTGAGGATATGCTTATCCAGGAGAAAAATATTGCGAAGATTGTAAAGAAGAAAGAGGAGAAGGACAAAAAAATAAAGAAAAAGGTTGACAAGAGGATTATCGTAAATATTGAAATTTGACTGATGAAAATACTTATTTAACAAACAAAAAGGATGGTTCGGAAAATAATTTAATGGTAAGTTCTAATGACAATGATTTACAGGCTCAAGTCAAAAATAAAGAGCGGCAATTACAAAAATTAATCAAAGAAGATAAGAATTTATCCGAAATAGAAGGATTAAAAATAGAAATTCAAAATTTAAGAAGTCAACAAAAAAATAGTTCTGCTACTGAAAATTCAGTTGAGAGCAAAGTAGTTAATTATTCAATTATCGGATTTTCACTGCTTATTTTAATCGGATTTGCTATTGTAGTAGTAAAACGAAAATCAAAAAATCCTAAAATTAAATAATAATGGCACAGAAAGCAAGTCCTTATGCAATTCGGTTAGGTTATAACCAAGATTGAAATAATTATTTTTTTGCTGAAAAAAAGCAAGAACAAATTAGTTGGTTAAGGAAAGATAAATCAATACGTGATTATCTTCATTCGCTCTTTCCTGATACTGATCGGTTAAAAATTGAATATACCAAGAACAATATTTTTATTTATCTTTATATACCAGAAATCAGTTTAGTACTAGGAGAGGATAATAACAAACTAAATTTGGTAATGAAAGGCCTCTACAAAATTATTAATGATGATAAAATTGCGGTTAAAATAAATCTAATTGAAGTAAAAAAAATTTTCACTCATGCTCAATCAATTGCTAATTGAATTGCCAGTCAATTAAAAAAGCGAACCCGTTCCCGGCAAGTAATTAAAACTTTGCTGAAATATATAGCATTTGAAAGAGAAAATAAAGGGATTAAAATTGAAATTAGTGGTCGTTTAGATGAATCGGATATTGCTCAAACCAAAAAATTCGTGGAGGGAAAAATGAAACTCAGTTCCATAGACAGCAACATTAAAGAAGGAAGAAAAGAAGTGACTACCAGTTACGGTAAAATCGGCATCAAAGTGCTAATTTACAAAGGAAAAATCTGACAAAAAAGAAATAAAAATTATGCTAATACCGAAAAAAACTAAATATCGTTATTCTCATATCGTCAAGTATGAAGGACATGTCAAAGGGAACGGCGAAATTAACTACGGAGATTACGGTTTGCAAGCCCAAGAGGGAGCCTACATTAGCAATCGAGTAATTGAAGCCGGACGGAAAGTAATTAGTCCCTTTGTCAAAAAAAACGGCAAAATGTGAATTAGAATTTTCCCCCACTTAGGAAAAACTAAAAAACCCTTAGAAGTAAGAATGGGTTCGGGCAAAGGTTCCGTGGAAAGTTGAGTGGCTGTAGTAAAAACTGGAACGATTATCTTTGAAATTCAAGGACTACCCAAAGATGCTTCCTATGAAATTCTAAAAAAAGCTAGTTATAAGTTTCCCATCAAGTGTAAAGTAGTAGAAAAGTAACTCGTTAAATAGGGCACTTGGCTCATCTCCTTTTGATAAATTTTTATCTTAGAGCAAAAAAATAGTTTAATTTGAATTCTTTCCTCAGAAATTATCATTTTATTTTTACAAAGAAATCAGATTTTTAAAAACCGTAAGTGCTATATGATATTATTTTATATAGTTTTGACTCTTGTTCGCGAACCTTTTTTCTCACCAAACTACTTATTGCAAGAAGAAAAAAGAAAGAAATAATAAAATTTTATCCAATTTTAAATGACCAAACCAAGTGAAATAAAACCATTAACCGCTAACTGTTTTCGTTGTCGAAAATGATTTTTAATTAAATATGTGCCATGAAGAAACAGATTTAGTTTAAAAAATAATTGAGAATATTGAACGGAAAAAGAAACTAATAAAAAAATTTGTGATAATTGCTTAGAAGATTTGTATTCAAATTGTAAAGAAGAGTATCGGAAAAGTATCACTGCCTTAGGACGACGGGTAGTCTTAAGAAATTACCTTGCTCGCATCAAACTCGCTCAAATGATATCACATAAAAATATAATAAATATAGTATATGAGCAAGAAAAAAGTAGACAAAACATATCGTAATGCCTGTTAAGGAATATAAGAACAAGAAAAAAATAAAACATTTACAAAAAGAAATTAGGAAAGAATGTCCCCTCTGCCAAACTATTTACCAATTATTAGAAATTCATCAATCTAATGTTGAACCATTAAAAAAAAGTGAGTGCTTAAATAATTGTTTAAAAAAATGAAAAGAAACCTTACACGAGCATTATAATAAGGAAATAATGAACTATTTAAATGAACAAGAAAATGAAAAATAATGATCTTGCCAAATATAGTCAGTGGTTAAGAAAAAAAGATTTAGCCACCAATACCATTAATAATTATTCCCGGGCCGCTCGTCTTTATGGTGAAAAACCCTTAACTACTTCTAATTTAAGGGAATACGTTAGAAATAATTTAACCAAATATGAACCTAGTTCGCTTTATACTGGAATAAAAGCACTTACTATTTATGGCCGTTATCAAAAAGTCAAGGTCAAGTGAGAGAAAGTTTTAAAATTAATTCCTAAATTTCAGCAAAAATATTTTCCTATTCTAACTGAACTAGAATTAGAACAGTTGAAAAGAGCCCGATTTGAAGAAAATAATTGAGTTTACCAGAGAAATATTACACTACTCAAATTAAATGTTAATTTTTTATAAACTAATTTTAAAGGCACATATTCTTACCCATTATTAAACTGCGAAATATTTTTTTAAATAAGTATCTTTGTTCGCCTCAGTAGTTTCCTTATTCATCGCATTAAGACTATCAGCCCGAAACTCTTTACATTCCTGACAAATCTTTTTAGACTTGGTTCACTTTATTCATTCTGAAACACTTTCTATAACGGAAGTTCCTTGGCTAGACAACTTATTTAATACTTCTTCTTTTTTTAGGCAACAAACCTTTTCGTTTACCTTTTCCATTATAAGATATTTTAAAATTCTTGTCCGCTTTTTAAATTTTATATCCTTTCCTTACCCCTAACTAGCAATCAATTCTTATATATTTGCAGTTCCCCACCTGTTAATTTATAGATATTCCTATTTTTAACGAAATCATTTTCTAGTGGTGAGCCGATAGTAAATGCTTCTATTTTCATTTTTTCTAAGACAGAATTAGAACAAGAGCCACAATAAAAATAAGGACCAGAATAAACTCCTTCCTTATCCTTTTCAAAAACTACTAAGCGAACAGCTTGGTAATTAGTTATTTGGGAATCCAACTCATAACAGCCTTGACAAGGCATATCAAGTCCATCATATCCAAGGGTTAATTTTACTTCTTTTGTCATATTTCTTTACTTGATTTTAGTTTCTTTTCTTCCTCAATTTGTTTCCAAAGGTAATTTCATTGCTCACTCCTTTCCATTGAAGCAGCTATTCCATTTTCTAAAACAGAAAAGCCAGTTAATTCTGTTCCCATTTCTTTATGCTTAGCAATAGCACAGTCCTGGCAATAGAACTCAGGAACAATTCTTTCTCCCTCAATATCCCTTTTATAAATAACTATGGTTAAATAAATAGGTTGGGGCTTGTTATCATAGCGCTTAGCTGCTATTTCTCTTCAGTGTAGTTTATCACAGCCGGAACAAACTTCATACATATTATGATGTCCTACTATTCATTCTATTCTTCTTAACATATCTTTATACCCCCTATTTTAACAGTTTATAGTCCACTTATTCGGTCATAAAGCCTCTGTCTATCAGCCAAGGACATCCTTAAAAGCCCTCCCCCAGTTAATTCCAAACCTAGAACTTGATTACAAAGTAAGATAAATCTTTTTTCTTCCTCAGTTAAACAAAGTAGCGAACCAAACTTTTCTCAGTCTTTATCACTCTCTAATTTTATCAAATTATCTAAATATTCCTGTCTATTTCCCCCATCAAGAGGTATAGCTTTATTGCCTCCAATAAAAAGGGTTGTCTCAATGTTTTTAGGGAAATCAGCATCAGCAACTACTTTTTTACTTGGTCTAAGACTTCATTTACTCCAACCACCAGGATTATTCGGATCCTTTTCAGTCTGTTTATAAAGAGCCTTTATTCAAGGTTCTAGTTTTTCCATTTGCTTTTCTTCTTTTAAGTCTTCGGTTAAGGTTTCTTCCTCTTTTTTATTCATATTTGAAACTACTTTTATAGGGTTATTTTATTGTTCTTTTAGTAGGGGTTGTTCTTGTTGAGGGCATTTAGAACATTTAGGCATTATGAAGATATTTTAGTTGAAGTTTAATTTCTAAAATTATTATTATGGTAAACGCTCAAGAATGATTGGATAAGAATTATCCCGATAAGAAAACAGAAAGAATATACCTAAACCAACCATTAGAAGGAGTGTTAGATTGTAGTGAGTATGAAGAATTAGAAAAAATATATATTTCTACTTCCGTAGATAGGAGTAAATTAGAGATAAAAGGAGGTTCTTATAAGGAATGAAATGGAAAGAAGCAAGAATACGAAACACGAGAAACCCAAATAATCCCTTGTTCTCTAGCTCAAACTTGACTAGACCAAAATTATCCTAGGGAAGGAACTTGTATAAGAGGAAATGAGAAAAAAGAGGAAAGTTATCAGAAAGGAATAAATAACCTTAGTAAAATCCGAAGTGAAATAACTGAGTTAGATATTAGTGAACAATACCTAGAAGGCAAACTCAACCTCAATGATTTTTCTAATCTTAAAGAACTTAAATGTTGAAGAAATAAATTAACCAGTCTTGATTTAACTAATTGTGAGAAGTTAGAAGTAATTAGTTGTTCTCGTAATTTACTAACTGACATTACTCTTCCTATTAATTCTATTAATTTAGAAGAATTATATTTAAGATATAATAATTTCCCTCCTGAATATGACTTTTCTTTTTTAATCTCTTATCCTAATCTAAAAAAGCTTTGATTGAGAAATGATAAACACGGTTCTTGTCTTAAATGCTTTCAGCCTAATACTAGCAAAAGATGATGTCGACCTTGTGCTGAAAAAGAATGAAAAAAAGATTTAGAAAAGTTAGAGGGGCAAGAATTAATTGAAAAGTTTATTGAAAAGCAACCAACAAGAAAATATGAAGATAAATTACAATGAATTCCTTACGAAGAGTTTACTAATATAGAACATCTTACTGATGGGGGATTTAGTAAGGTTTATAAGGCTAAGTGAAAGAGAAAGGCAATTGTTCTCAAAACCTTTACTAATTCTCAAAATATTACTTGGGAATTTTTGAGTGAGATTACTAATACTAGTTTGCTTACTAGTTATAACATTATCTGATGTTATGGCATTTCTCAAAACCCCACAACCAAAAACTATATGATGGTAATGGAATATAAGAAAGAAGGAAATTTAAGACAATATTTACAAAGTAGTTATGATAAATTAGATTATGAAAATGAGCCTAAATTAAGTTTAGGAGACAAACTTAGAAAGTTAAGAGGTATTGTTAATGGATTAAATAATATTCACGAACAAAACCTAATCCATCGAGATTTCCATAGTGGGAATATATTGAATGATTTTTATAGTTATATTACCGACTTTGGTCTCAGTCAACCAGTTAATTACCAAAAACAAGAGGGTAAAATTTATGGGGTTCTTCCTTATGTAGCACCAGAAGTCTTATTGGGCAAACCTTATACCCAAGCAAGTGATGTTTATTCTTTTGGAATTGTGGCTTATGAATTACTAACTAATGCTTATCCTTATTCTAAAATGGATGAAATGGAATTAACCTTAAAAATTTGTCAAGGCTATCGGCCTAATATAAATGAATTAAAAATCCCTCAATTATTAAAAGATTTAATTAAAAAATGCTGGGATGCCGAGCCTGAAAAGAGACCAACTGCTGGGGAAGTGGAGGGAATTATTGATGGTTGGATTGATTATGATAATGGATGTGTTAAAGAAGATACTCAATTCTATCTTCGATACCAAGAAATAGAACAAGAATACAACACTTTTTCCCAAAACACTCCTTACCAAATCCATCCTACTGCTACTCTAACTAGCAAAATGATAGATACCAAACAGATTACTAAATTATTATCCAAGGAAGTAATTGGTTCCTCAGAAATCCCTAATATGGCTGATTTATTAGATAAATTTGCTAATACTTCGGTAGCAGATAATAATCAAAGTAGAGAATGAACCAACATTCGCCCCAACTTTACCCCAAAACTAACCCAATCCTGAACTAACTTAAACTTCACCTGCTCCCAAACCCAAGAATGAATTAATATTGGCTTACAACCTACTGATTATAACTTCTGTGCTTGACTAAGAGATACCAAACAACTAACTGCTGAACAAGTTCTAAATCAAGGCAATGAAACAGAATTAAGACAAGAATTTCAAAATTATCAGCAACTTCAAATCCAAATAGAACAGCCTCCTAAATAAATCACTTAATATTTTACAAGCACTAAAATTCAAACCTAAATCCTAATTGACTAAAACTTCCTAGAATTCGTTTTACTCCAACCATATTAGTTTCGATATTGTTTCCCACAATGCATTCAACATTTTCTTTTCATACTTTATTTCCACTCTTCATCCATAACTCCGCTTTATGTCCTCTTTTGGTGTATTTAGACCCTGCATTATTAGTTCATACACGAAGTGTTGGATAATTACAATTACCTAAATCAATGATGTCATCATTTTCTAGGTATATATACAATATTGGATTTGGTCTTGTATGTTGCTTCATAAAGTTATCAAGATTAGTTTGTGCCTCGACTATTTTTTCGTGTGGGTCATTAATTTTAGAGAAAAAATTAAGTATACCCTCTCCTTTCCTAACATCAATAACCATCATTCCTCTGTAATAGTTCAAATATTCCAATAATTCTGCCTTGGTTTTAGTTTCTAGGTCGTATTTAGTTTGTAAATCTTTTGTTCTTTGTTGTGCTTCGTTAACTAACTTCATGTGATGTCTAATAGTTCATTTAGCGCTGGTTAATTCTTTTAGTCTTGCCCAAACATCCTTGTATTCTCCTCCTAGTTGGTTTCATTTATCATCTAGAAGTATTTTTGATAAATCTTCATAGTATATTCAATCGTAATCGACTTCTTCAAGTTGAAAATCAAACAACTCGACAGTTTTTTTACAATAGTTCATTAACTCCTTTTCTAACTCATTCATTTCTTTATCCTTTACTTGCCCTTGTAAACCCTTTATTTCTTCCTGTAAAGTGTTTATTTGATTAGTAAGAGAGTTTACTTTTTGCTGTTCTTGCTGAATATCAGTCTGGTATTTAGTAATATCTTTTTCCATTTGGGTAATTTGTTCGGCTGTTAAATCAGTTTGGGTTCCTATCTCTTTGGTATCCTTAGCCAATTCTTCTAGAATTGTTTTCATTTTTTCATTCTCGTTTGATAATTTACCAACAACTCCTTTTAATTCCTCTTCTCCTTTTGCTTTTTCATTTAATACTTCCGTAGTAATTTGTAATTCTTGCTTTAACTTTTCAATTTTATTTCTTAAAGTTCTACCAATGAACTCTTTAGATTTATCATACTGAACTTTTAAGTTAGTTAATTCAGTTTCTCGTTCTTTTTCGGCTTTAACTCTTTCTTGTTCTAATTCCTTAACTCGGTTATCTAGTTCTTTTTTCTCATTATCTAATCTTTGGATATCAGTTTGTAAATGGTTAACTGTTTCTTGACTAGTTACTTGGGTTTTACCTTCTTGCTCTAATTGGGTCTTTAATTGGTCGATATAGTTGTGTTGTTTAGAAAAGATAGTGGCTGTTCCTTTTAATAATTTGCCTAATTGGGCAATTCGGTCATTTTTTTTAGTTATCTCGGCTCGATTTTGCTCTCTTTCAGTTTCTAGGTTTTTGATTGTTTCTTGTAGGGTAGTATTTTCACTGGCATTTTTGAGGGCTTGAATATTAGTGCTTAATTCGGTTAAATCCTTGGCTTTTCATTTGGTAAGAATGGTGTTGATTTCTTTATTTTTATTAGTTAGACCAGTAGTTAGTTGGGTTTTGTCTTTTTCTAACTGTTTGACTTTATTTTGTTCTTGGACTAAATCACTTTCTACTTTAATTTTCGCTTGAACTTCTTTGTTAAATTGTGCTTGGGTTGGTCGGTCCTTATAATCATTTCATTGAGTTAAGGTTATATTTGGTCGACTATCCCTTTCTGCTTCAACCGATTTAATATCTTTTTCTCCTTGGATTTTCTTTTTTAAGGTCTTAATAAGAGATGTATCGCTTGGTTGTTCCTTGATTTCCTCTTGGGAAAAAGAACTAGGATCCTTTAATAATCTTTCCACATGTTCTAACCTTTGTATTGCTTCTTGAAGAGTAGCCATAATACCCCTTATTTTAAGGAGTTTATTAGGCTTTTAGGCTTCTTTTTCTTTGTTTCTCATTAGCAGGTAAACAATTATCCCTATTACCAAGACTAAAATAATTCCTCCGCCAATTAACCAAGGAGTTCAATTAAAAGGTTTGTTGTTCTCTTGGCTTGGTGAACCACTAACCAAGGCCTCTAACTCTTGCTTATTAAGAGAACTTTTGCCTTTTTTAGTTAGATATTGTTTTAGTTTCTGTCAAGCACTTTTTTTCTGATTATCAGTTTCGTTTGCTTGCTCCTCATTAGTAATAGTTTGGGAAGAATTATCATCCGAACCAGCATCAAAAGTAATTAATAAACTTCCGTTTTCTTGCTGAGTTATTTGGTAAATGTTATTAGCAGTAAAATACTGTTGGATCTGTTTTAGGTCAGGTAAATTGCTCTCTCTCTCTCTCTCTCTCTCTGCTGTCATCATTTCCTTTACCAGTTTTCTTGTTTAATTCGGCTTCTAATTCCTCAATAAACTCTTTACCCTTCTGATATTTGGAAGCATCCTCATTAGTTAATTGACTTAGTTTTCCGCGAAATTCAAGAATAAAACTCCTTCACTTACTTTCCTCTCCTGGAATTAAGTTATTTAGTTTTTTTAATTCCTCTAATTTACTCTCATAAAGCTTATTGACTATTTTAATGCTACCAGGAGACTGAGGAGCCTGACCAGACATAAAATACCTTTTTGCCTTATTTTTACTGTTTATATTTTCTCTAGCTTCCTTATCTTTTAACAAACCATTATCATCTACAAAGGATATTTCTCAACAATAATTCTCTCTATAATATTCTTCATTGTAAAGACTGATTACACTGCTTTTGTTGATTTCTTCTATTATTGGATGAGCCGGATCCGAAGCCATAATAAATATCTCATACTTAGGAACCCCATTATCTTTTTCTTGGGAAACGAACTTAAAAAAGGTCGCTTCAAATGCCATTCCAAAATATTCTGTTTGTCTTCCTTCAAATTTTGCTAGGATTTTTACTTGTGCCATATATTCATATTTTTTATAATTTTAATTTAATCCGACATAAAGGGGGCAAGGTGAGTATGATTACAATTTGATTATTCCAAAAAGATTGCTCCCGTGTAAATATAGGTTTTCATTCTTTGTTTTTTCTTTAAACTAGTAATCGTGCTTCAATAGCGGGGTTTATCATTATAAAGCTCAATTAAGCATTTATTACAAATGTATTTATCCTTATTGTCCTTATTCTCAGTTCAGTATTCTAGACTATTTTTTCAACTATAATCTTTCTTAGGAATGACAAAACTAATAAGAATATTGCTCTTACACTGAAAACATTTTTTCTTTAAGGGCTTGGGAACTCAATCTGGTTTAGGCTTGTTTTTATTTTCCATATGTATTCAGTATCTTTTCATTTTTCATCCTACACCTCCTATTTTACGAGTTTCTTTGCCCTTGCCAACTATTTCCTTGTTCATAGATATAAATAAGTTTTTAGTAGGAACCTTATCCACCTTTATTTTTTACTAATAATTAGAATGTATACCAAATGAATACTAAAATATATAATATGACAAAAAAGACGAAACTTTCTGCTGAGCAGATAATGAGATTTAAAAAAGGAGGCACGAGCCAAAAAAAGTTAGCTGAGGCTCTTAAAGTAAGCCAGCAGACTATAATCAGATGGAAGAAAGAAAAAGATCCCTTTCGTAAAAGAAAAAGAAAACCCAAAGATTATGGAATTATTCCTGAACTTCTAAGATCTTGTATTACCAAGAACAACACAATTACTCAGAATGAATTAGCTGATTTAGTTTCTAAGGAAATAGGTCAGCAAATAACACAGAAAAAAATTTCTTATATTTTAAGAAAGAGACTTAATTATACCTACAAAAAACTTACTTTTCATTATACTCAGTTAGATGAGGAGAAAGCCAAGGCATTTAACGAAGAAATTAAGCCTCTGTTGTTAGAAACTCCCTTTATTGCCCTAGATGAGTGTTCTTTTTATCCTAATCTTGACCCTCGCTTTGGTTATGCTTTTAAGGGTTTAAGAGCAATCAATAAAAAACCCAGTAATCAAGGAGAACATTATACACTTTTATTTGCTGTTAGCAATTTAAAGAAAAATGGTGTGGTTTATTGAAAACTAGTTAGGGGAAGTGTTGATTGAAAAGTATTTTATTATTTTTTGGAAGGGATTAATCCTATTGGAAATAAAAAGAATATTCTTTTAATGGATAATGCTAGAATTCACCATGCTTCGAAAAAGAGAAAAGAAGCAAAGTTGCCAAGTGTTAAAGAACAAATGGCAAAGAAAAATATTGAGGTTCGTTATATTGTTCCTTATGCTCCAATGCTTAATCCTACCGAATTATGTTTTAATACACTTAGAAAAAATACTGAAAGGCAAAGATCCAGAAATTATGAAGGGATGAAGTTGTCGATTGAGAAAGCTGTTGAAGAGTTGAATAAGCAAGATTTATCAGAAAACTTTCGACACTGCTCAAATTATTTTGACAAGAAAGACAGGTCAAAGAAAAAAGTAGTTAAAAATGGATTAAAGAAAGTTAACATTTAATTTGAGTAATTTAATAATTGACTTCTTTTTTTACACCGGAATAAGAGTAAGTGAATTAGTTAATATTCGACATAGTGATTATGCCAATGGTCTACTAAAAATATTAGGCAAAGGCAATAAGGTTAGATATGTTTTTTTACCTCCTTTTTTAGTAAGCAAAATAACTAACCTTTCTTCTTTTGAATATCTTTTTACCACTATTCGAGGCAAACCATTATCAAGGATATTGATTAATCAACTTATCCAGCAAAGAGCTCGTTTATCAGGCATTAAAAAAGTAGTTAGTCCTCATACCTTTCGGAGAACTTTCGCTACTCTCTTAAATAATAAAGGAGCTCAATTGACCACTATTCAGAAATTATTAGGTCATAGTCATATTACCACTACCGCTTCTTATATTCACAACAGTTCAGAAGAGTTATATCAAGATTATAGTAAATTATGGAATTCAACACCCCCCCACTTTTCCTCTCCTTGTTCTTTCCAATTCTTTAAAAAATAAAAAATTAGTAAGTTAGATTTTAAAATTCATAACGACTACTACCCATTTTAATCTAATTTATGATAATGGTCGAGATAAAGAGTATCTCAATGTAGGGGGCATTTAATTATGATATCCTTAATTCATTAAAATTCCTTTATAAAAACCCAAAAAACTAAAATGCTGTGTAGCAAATGCTTTGAAAACATTCCACAAGGAAAAGAAATTCGACTTAATTGCTCAATAATTTGTAAGGAATGTGTTTTGATTGAAAGAAAAACAAGAAAGATTGTTGCTAGTTGTATCGATTGTCTCGAACCAATTTATGAAGGAGATGCAGTTTGTATTTATAAAAAATCTCTTGACGCGGGAGTTAAACTTGTCTTTGCAGATTTTAAAGTTAATATATCCACCAGCACCACTAAATGCTTTCAATGCTACAAAAATTGACCATCGCTCTAACCAAAAACCTATATTATTAAACAGAATATGAATTGATTTACTAATTTTTTTAAAAAAATATTCTCAAAAAAGGAAAAATCATGAGGTAATGCCCAAAAATGATTAGACAAAAAATATCCTTTACAAAAAAGAAAAGGAATAACAGAATTACTTCTGCAAAATCTCAGACTAAAAGGACCGCTTTCTCTAAAAGGATTTGTAGATTTAGAAGTTATCAATTGTCGGCATAATCGAATAACTAGCCTTGGTTTATCCGATTGTCAAAATCTTCGTAAACTTTATTGTGATGATAATCAGAGAATAAAGAAATTGGACTTATCTAATTTAAAAAAGTTAGAATGATTAGATGTTTGTGATAATCGGTTCACTGATTTAAATTTCCTAAACACTATTCCTAATCCCGAAAAGCTGCAAGCCTTAGTAATATGTGATAATAGACTTCCTCCTACTGATTTAAATTGGGTTTCTCGCTTTGTCAATTTAGAATTACTGTTAATAGGTAATCACGGATTAACCAAAAATAAAAGTGGGCAAGAAATTATCCAACTCGATAATTATCAATACAACCTTTTTTATGGGTCTCTAAAACCCTTACAAAAACTGAAAAAGTTAGTACTTCTTAACATAAGAAATACTAACGTCGACGATGACTTAGAATATCTTCCTGCTTCAATAACTCGCTTCCATTTTGAAGGCAATAAAAAAATAGAAAATAAACTTAGAGAATATGATTTTGACCTTAAAAAGTGAAAAGACCAGCATAAAGATAGCGTTTAATACTTATAAAGTTTTAATCGATATTTATCATTTATGATTTAACTGGTTTTTTCTAATTCATAAATAAAATTTTGCTTTCCTTCTTCCGGATTTTTACCCAAGAAGATTGCTCGTGGGTACTTGGCTTGAATATCGCCATTTAGTTCATCTAAAATTTTTTCTCATGCATCTGCTTTATTATATTTGAAAAATCTAGGTTCAACATTGGAATGCTGAATGAACTTTATGTTAGTGTCAACAAATTTGATACAAGTAAAATCTTTTTCTTCACTTATTTGCTTTTGTCAGATAGTTTTTTCTTCTATTTTTTTCTTTAATTCTTCAATTTTAGTTTCCTTTTCTTCAATTTCTTGTGGAAGAATTTTTAGGCGGTTATTTAACTCTATTTGCTTTTTTTCCTCTTCGTTTGGTTCGGAATATCCTCTTTTTGCTTCGTTGAAATTCATTCTTTCAACAAAACTCATGTTGCCAATATTTCTTTCTCTGATTCTTATCCTATTAATAATTTCCAAATAACAATCCCAGCAATTATTACTATTTTTAGCATTAAAATGAAGTCTAGAATGACAAGAACCACATCCTAAGTAGGTGTTGCCCTCTAAATATTTTTTTCTTAAAACCTCTAATTCTTCCCACTCTTTCTGCAATTCTTCTAAGTCTGATTTTTCCTTTTCGCATCAATTAATATCTTTTTGAACCTGTTTTTTTTCAATTCGATATATAGTGTCTTTAAGTAGAATGTGACTAGCCATATTATTTATTTTAATTTAGTATTTTAAGTAATCCGTTAAAGTTCGCAAGTGCTTTCTAAAACATTAAAATAAATAATATATTACTTCTTTGAGCGAGTGGTAAGAAACTGGTTATCTCAAATAGCCAACTCTTGCCAGTTTCTATCATTCACTGAAAGAGATAATAAAAAGAGTTGGTCGTACTTTTTAGTCTCTTTCGACTTTTTTATAATACAATTTAATTTGATGTCGAAAGATAAAAATTTAATAACAAATCTTTTTTTCTAATTTTTAAGAAGGGGGGATTATTTTGGCTTATTTTTTAAATTATTGTCCTTTAAAGATTAATTTTTAAGAAAAGTAAACCGGAGATTTAATTTTTCAGTGAGGGCAATGAACTTATGGAGCGAATAAAAATCTATTGTTGAATTATAAATTAAGTTTCTTTGCCCTCTTCATTACCCTCACTCAAGAGTTAATCCAATATTACGCACTTTAAACTTCTCCTTATATTTTTTTTATACCAACTAAACCCAAACCTATATACTATATTTTAGCAAAAATGTTAAGTTATTAATTTTTAAAAAAGAATTGTGGCAGTGCTGGTTAATTTTAAAAAAATATAGAATTATTGGAAGAGTAAGTTTTATTAGTAAAAATGCTTAGTTTTAGAGAGGTTTTTAAAGATTGGTATATTTTTCTCTAATAACAAGAAATATTAACAACCTGAACCGAATTAAAAAAGCAAATAAACAGCAAAATTCACTATTTAGAAAAAACTAATTATGAATTAGAAAAAGACCAAGCCAGCCTTAGCCAAGAAGTGGAAAAAATAGTTGAAATTCCCATTAATAGTGTGGAACAAGCCATTCTTTACTTAGGTCAATTAAGAATGAATTGTCTGCTAACTAAAGAAGATTGAGCGATTACTGCAAAAATACTCTCCTACTGTTAGATAAGATTTATTTTTTAATTCAGAGAATGAACCCACACTCTAATTCAGGTGCTACTGGTCCAACTATTGCGGAGGTGGATTAGAGGAACTTTTTAACTGATAAATATTCAACACTAAACGCTTGTTAGATAAGGGGAGTCCAAAAAACTCCCCTTGATTTTTAGTTATTTCTTAGATACTTTACTGAACACCTCGGAAACTTCTATGGCATGTTCTAACTCTGTTCCCACTTTTTGGATAACTCCATCTTTAGCATCTTTTACTTCTTCTAAGCGAGTAATTAGTTCATCATTATTATTAATATTATTAACTTCTAGTTGATGTCCTAATTGTTTCTTCCCTTTGATGTAATCGGTAATCTTCAATTGTATTTTATCCCAATTGCCCTTATAGACACCTTGACAATTATTTTTTAAATGTTTGAACAATACACCTTGGGATGATTTTCTTGTTTTTTTGTTTGCCTCTATTGTCTCTGAATTTCCTTTCAAAGGCGGATTGTCCACATAAATTATCTCACTTTTTTCCAAAATTTTGGATATTGCTTGGTTTTCTTCTTGCAATGTTTGTCGGTCTTCTTCGCAATCCTCGTGATCCTCAAAGTTAGGAAATTTCGTTTTCACAATAGTGGTGTATTCAGTAATGCCACTTTCTAGAATGACATCTTTTAATAACCTGAATATTTCTATTTCTTGACTTGTGAACTTATTTCCTACGACAAAAAGAACTTGCTTAATACCTTCTTTCACTAAATAAATTCCCTCAGCCATTTTGAATAAAACTTCCCTTTCAGATAATTTAGTATCACCGATTCCTACTGTGTCAACAATTCGATAGTTTTCCCCTTCATAAGTAAACTCTTCTGCTTGAAAACTTCTTGTTTCGCTAGTAGTTCCACAACTTTCTTTAAAATTAAAACACTTTTCATGAAAAAAATAAGGCCCTTGATCATCCACAAGTGCTTCTATTCATTTATTGCGTTTTCCTTCTTTATCTTTCCCCTCTACAAATTTTCGCTTACATTTGTGACATTTATTATTTTTTTCTTCAAACTCTTTGGTTACTTTTTTTCTTTTAAGTTCCCCCCTGTTAGTTAGGACATTAGCTAGAGTAGATTTACCATTTCCTGTTCAGCCGATTAAAAGAAGATTATGGATTGATTTCTTATGTGTTTCTTTTCACCGACTTAGTTGTTGGCCGTGCTTGTCAAATATGTCTACTTCTTCTTCTAATCAATTTACATATTTACCTTTTAATTGTTTAACATCATGGCTCAACTCTTGTATTTTTTCCACAGTTAATTTTTTGTCATCTCGTAGTCAAGCACAGAAACCAGCATCGACCTTTGGGTTAAAACTATTTCCCAAAGCATCGGATCATTTCTTCACCTGTTGATAATCAAAACCTCGACTTAGCCATTTCAAAATCACTGCCTTGTCAACAAATTCCTCATTAATATCCCGCCAATCATTATCATCTCCAATGATACTACTAATAAAAAAATCACCTCCTAAAATGTTATTAATCTCGTAATAGTTATTAAAGATATGTTTTAATACTTTTTGTCGAATAATTTTCTCTTTTTCTTGAATTTCTTTTTTTAATTTTTCTTTTTTCTCTTCTAATTGTGTTATTCTTTCTCCGATTCCAATTACTACATTTACACAATCTTTACTTTCTTCTTCTTTAGTAACTGATTCCTTATTAGTTTCTTCTTTCAACTTCAACTTTTCCAATTCTTCTTTTAATTCCTGCTTTTTTTTAAGATAATCGAAATAATCAGTAGCAATTTCATTGCTCAACTCTTGTAACTTTGAAGGTTTATAAGGATTTTTTTGACAACTATTCCTCAAATTGTCTAATATCCTCTTTCTGGACTCTTCTCTTTCTTCTCTGCCATATTTACTGCTTAGCGAAGAGTTATTCACATGAACAATTCTTCCTTGACAGGAATTGACTATTTCAGAAAGTTCTTTTTCAGTCAACATTTTTTCAATATCCGCTTGACATTCTTCTTCATCTTCAAAATCCTCGAATCTAGTTCTTACTATAGTAGTGTGCTTAGTAACATGTTCATCAAAAATAATTGTCCTTAGTAAATTAAAAGTAACCATTTCGTATTGGTCGAATCGACCATCAGTAACGAAAAGGATTTGGCTAACTCCTTCCCGGGCTAAATAAACCGCTTCTGCTATTTTGTCTAGCACCTCCTCTTTTTTTAACTTGGTATCACCTATCCCTACGGTATCAATTACTGCATAATTAATATCATTCTCAATAAATTCCTCTTTTTGAATTTCCTTAGTTCCGCTAACGCTTGCCTCACTTTCTCAAAACTTATTAGTTCCGCTTATTACGTTGGCAAGCGTAGACTTTCCGCTGCCAGTTTTTCCTATTAGTATTATTATTTTAGTCATAGTTTTATTGTTATTTTCTTTTAAAGATGGCTGTGAGGAAATTAAAAATTCCCCTACGGCAAAAATATTATGTTTTCCAGTTTAGTAAAAACTTATCAGTTTATTGTTTGCTTAGTATATTCTACTACTGCATTCAATCCAACTGGCAGTCCAGGAACTTCTACTCCTACACTAACTTTTATTCCTTCGTTTATTTCTTTAGCAGTTTCACTTTCTATTTTCTTTATCTCTTTTTCTTTTTCCGAAACTGAAATATTACTTTTTTCTATTTCTTCTTTCTTTTTATTGTATTCATTTACCTTAGAGACTATACTATTTCATTCTTTTAATTTGTAGATTTCTGGACAATTTTCAGCCACGTGGTTTAGCACTACTTTTATTGATTGTTCCCTCTTTTGCTTACTTTCTTTTATCTTATCTTCCTTTTTTGCTCTTATTCTTTCATTGTCCTTTTCTTTTATTACTGGTATTGGCGGATTGTCTACATATATGACATTGTTACAAGAACTAATAATTTCTCTAACAGTTTGCGAAGTCTGGGTAAGAAGAGATTGTCGATCCTCTTGGCATTTTTGTGAATCTTCAAAATTTTCAAAATTAGTTCTAACCAAAGTAGTAAACTTAGTAATACCAGTATCGGCAATAAAATTTTTAAACATATTAAAGGCTGTTATTTGTTCTTCCGAAAACCTCCCTTTAAATACAAAAAGTATTTGGTTTATTCCTTCTTTAGTTGCATGAATTCCTTCTCCTATTTTAAATAAGATATCTTCATTAGAAATGTTAGCAGTATCTCCAAAACCAATGTTATCTATTATGCGATATTTTTTACCTTGCCACTCAAAAATATCACTAGTCTGGAAGTTTTTCGTGACACTAGTGCTAGAACTATTTTCTACAAAAGTATTAGTATTAGACAAGACATTAGCTAAAGTAGATTTGCCACCACCTGTCATGCCAACTATTAGGATGTTTCTAATGTCATCTTCTTTGGCTTTAGTTATTTGCGGACTATTTTTGGCTGAACCTTTGGCTAATTTTCCTTTCTCAGCATCATAAGTAAGATTAGACTTTGTTGCTCCTTCTTCAGTGAGTTTTGATGGACATCCATTTATGTTTGCTTCCTCTAATTTAGAACAAGTACTTAAATCTAATTCTCGAAGAGGATTATTAGAGCAATCAATTTTTCTAAGATTAGAACAGCCATCAACTTTCAAATAAGTAAGTTCATTACCACGGCAATCTAATTCTTCTAAATTTGGACAATCACTAATATCCAAACTAGTTATTTGGTGAGAAGAAATTATTAACTTTCGTAGGTTAGTAAACCCTTCCAATTTTAAATCTTCTATTAAATTTTTATTTTTACTAAAAATTCCATTACCAACCTTGCCTTTTCTAATATCTAACAGAGTTATTCCTTTTCTGGTTTTACCTTTATTTTCTGGATCATTATCTCTTTGGCATGTGCCACTTGTTGGATATTTTTCGTTTATATAGTTTTGTGCATTTACATTGTTTACCATATTTTTATTAAATTTGTGTTATTATTGTTTAAATTCTGTTTACAATCACCACTTCCGCTTTTAAGCAATTATAACAAATTAGTCAGTGAATGATTTTTATAATTATTCCAATTTGCTATTTCTCTCGTTCTGACCATAGGCAATTTAATGTGATTATAAACAAGCACTAAACCAAAATATGAATTATTAAGAAAATAAGTTACTTATATTACTAATTTTTTAAAAAGAATCAAGCGAGTGAGTTTTTTTCTTAATCTATCTCGACTTCAATAGGTTCACGTAATTTTGAGGCATTCAACTTATCATTACGATAATCTTCGTGCTTTTTCACAATAAAATTATACTCGTTCTGATTTTTCTCTTTAAGTCATTTAAAACATCCTTGTGGACACTTATTACAGAGAAGTTTAGGCAATTTGCTTTTTGCTATTTTCAAGTTCACATGGCGATGTATTCTAACAAAAGAAGGATCAATTTTTAAGCAATCAGGTAATTTACGAATTTCATACTGAGAGATAAATTGTTTTTCTTCCTCTTTAATTTCTTCTTCATTTTGGGAAGTAATTGTCAACAGACGAAAAAGAAAAAGATTATCTTCTTCCTTTATTTTGGTTATTATACAGGGTCTTCCTCTTCTTATTATGTCTCATTGGTCTTTGTAATCAAGATCTATGAAGATAATTTGGTTTAACCTTGGTCGCTCCTTACCTTTGTTCATCGTTTTTTATTAACTTTCTATACTTTCAACTATATGTAAAGCAAAATTTTGATAATAGTTAATCATTTCCTGACTTTGGGGCATTTCTTTACTCTTTTTATCATCCCAAGTTGTAAATCAAGCCGGGTCTTCGTGAACAAAATCCTCTAATTGCTGATTAGTATAAGTTTTGAAGTAGCCAAAAATTTTAGTTAGAAAGGTTTTTAAGTTAGAATTTAAATTCTTAGTTGAGGTGGATCTGTGAGGAACAACCAGAAAATGAAACTGATGGTAAATATCATAAATTATTCCGCCATGTTCAAAAGCTAAAAACTTTTCCGGAAATAAATATCTTCCTTCTTTGGCCGCATAAAGCATTTGAGTAATTTGTAATAATTTATTAAGACGAAGGTTGCCAACAGTTGGCACCGAATTCCCCTCCACTTTTATCATTTTATCTTTGACAAAATATTCTCTCTTCGGGTCTAAAGAAAGAAAAAATTCGGATATTTCTAATACTGAAACTTGCTTATTCTTGATTGCGCCCATGATATTTACTATAATATTGTAAGTCTTATATCTTAATTTTACACATTTACACAAGGAAAAGATATCTAATAAATATTCAGTAGTAAATGCTTATTAGTTAAGGGGAGAATTAACTCCCCTTTTTATTTGGGTGGGATTTGGATTTGGGATTGTAACAAGTCTTGTTGTTGATGTTGTCATCACTGAAAATATTCTTGATTTAATTGCTCTTGGTTGTCATGATTAAGGACTTGTTCTGGAGTGTAATTTTTAATATCTCTTAGTCAAGCACAAAAGTCAGCATCAGTAATTTTCATCCCAATATCCAGTCATTCTTTAGTTTGCTGAGGAGTGAAGCTATAAGATTGTCATTGGTGGATTAGTTGAGAGGCAAAAGAGGGATGGAGAGAAGTTCAATCTGATGCTTTAGGTTTTTTAGTCAACTCTTGTTCTTCTCAACTGTTTCTTTTTTCTCTTTTAGTGTTAGTTATTATGGGTAATTCTATTAACTTCTTGCTAGTGTTATAGTTGAGATTAGCGTTATCGCCGAAAATGCTACCAAAAACCGCATGTCCCTGGTTAACACTAATATTGCCAGTAATAGTTATTATTTTTTGTATTTGTTCGCCTTCTAGCAATAGTTGTTTTTCACTAATTTTTTCTTCTAGTTCTGCTTCTCAAACTATTAATTCTTCACAGACAGTTAGAACAATTTCTACTTCTTCCATGTCTTTTTCACTTATTTTGCTTTCTAACTCCTCATGGATTTTATCATATCGTTTACGGAACTTAACAATTGGTTCTTTTTTCCTTCAAAGCTTGGTTAATTCTAAATGAGCAATGATTAACTCTCTAAATAACTCTTTAGCAGGGGCAAAATATAAATAAGCATCAACTATTTTTTCTTTTTGCTTTTTGATTAATTTGGTTAACTCTTTGATTCTTTCTTCTAAGTAACTAATTTTCTCTACTCTTTCTTTCAATCCTTGAATCTCGATTTTGAGAAGATTAATTTCTTTTTCTCTTTCTTGCAAACCACTTTCTAATTCTTTAATATATTCGTCCCTTTGTTTTTGAAATTCTTCCTCATCGGAAAAAATGGAAGTCGGATCTGTTGTTATAGACATTGTAGAACTATACTCCTCTTCATCGTAGTGTTCTTGCTTTAATTGATTCTTTATTTTTATGCCTCAAAGAAGATCAATTTTCTTTTTAGATTGTTCAACAAGCACCTTTGACCTTTTTCAGGCTAAATAATTATCTCCATAAGGCTTTAGTTGCTCATAGATTTTCAGACAACCAACATTTTCTTCCGCCCCATCGCAATAGATACTTTTAACACTCTCTGATAAATATTCTAATCCGCTATCAATGTTAGTGTTATTTATATGTAGAAGTTCTAATTTATTCAAATCCCGTAATGGTTCTAAGGAACTATAAAAACGGTTATAAACACCTTGTTGCATTCTTTCTTCATCGTCATTACCTAATCCGAGAACCTCTAAATTAACTAAGTGAACTAAGAAAGATAAGTCTTGAGCAGAAAAATTGTTATCTCTAATATCTAGTTTCTCTAATTTGCTATTTTGGCTTAAATCAAGTTTAGTTAGAAGGTTTCCGGAGCAACTAAGCACTTTTAAATTAGGAAAACCATGAAGATTTAAATCCGTAAGTCGGTTAGCATAAAAATTTAGCTCTGTAAGCTTTTCTAATCGATCAAAATTTAACTTTGTCAACTGGCTATAAAAACAAGAAATATTCTCTAAACTCGGACAATCTCTTGTCTCGAAGTAAGTCAGAGCATATCCATCTCTACAAGTCAGTTTAGTTAAATTAGGACAATTATTTATTTGGAATTTGGTTAAATTATTTTGATTGAAAATTATTACTTCTTCTAATTGAGAAAAGTTATTAATTATTAACTCTCCCTCAACATTAAGAGGAGTAAAGGTAGTTATTTTATGTTCTGAGTTAATTTTTTTCTCTTCTTTAGTCGGATAGTTTTTTTCTAGCCATTCCTGGGCTTTTATTTTGATGGTAGTATATGTTTTCTTGTTTATTATCTTACCTAATTGAGGGTTACCAGTAATATTTATTTCCTGCAAACTACGGAAGTCAACTAGATCCAAGTCACCTTCTAAATTTTTATTACTGAGATCTAATTTTTCAACACTTCACCTTTGTTTTTTAGGATAATTTTGATCCAACCAATCTTGAGTTCGATTTTTCGCTTTCTTTATCTTTTCTAAATATTCTTTAAATTTTTCTCTCAATTTTTCACTGCCGCCATAATTTAACACTCATTCAACATTAACCTTTTTAATGTTCCTTAACCAATCACAAAAATCACTATCGCCAGATTGTATACCAATATTTAACCATTCTTTACAACTTTCCTTGCTAAAGCCTTTATCTATCCACTCCTGAGTTAACTCTTCTGTGAAATCTAGGAATGGAACTCCATATTCTTGCCAGCTTGCTATGCTTTTGTTTGCTAGTTTAGAGCTTTCTTTTTTAATCTTTCTAATTTTCTCTTTAAAGTCCTTTATTGTTCCATAATCATCAACTTCCACAATTCCTTCATCATTAGTAAAGAGATTGTGAATACTTTTGACTCTTGAATTTGGTCTTTCCCTAGACGAACAAACAAATTCTTCCAAACTTTCTGGCAGGTACTCTATTCCGCTTTCTATGTCAGTATTTTTAATATCTAAGCACTCTAGTTTAGTTAGACTTTTCAAATGTTCAAAAGAACCTAAAAATCGATTATAAATACCTTGTTGGATTTTTTTTTCATCTTTATTTCCTACTACAATAATTTCCAAATTTACTAAATGACTTAAAAAGGACAAGTCCTGTTCCGAAAAATTATTATTGCCAATATTTAGCATCTCCAATTTCAAGTTATTGCTCAGGTTAAGAACAGATAAAAAGTTATCATGACAAGCAATCATTTCCAAATCAGGACAGCTGTCAATATTTAGACTAGTCAATTGATTATTAGAGCAATCTAATTCCTCTAAAATTACAAAGTCTGTTAAGTCTAGTTCTCCTTCTAAGTTTTTATTGCTAATATCAAGTTTAGTTACTTCTTCTCTATTTTCTTTTGGATAATTTTTATTCAAGTATTGCTGGACGCTTACCATAATGTTTTTCTCTGTTTTTTTTGATTTAAAACCCTTAAACTGTTAGTTGTTTGTTTCAATTTGAGTCTGAGCTATAAAATTATCATTATTCAATGTTTCTTCGTTAATTTCCTTTTTATCTAGTTTGAAATTGAAATTAAAGAGATTCTCAACCTGTGAACAAAATTTAATGCCAGCAACACATAATGTAGCAAAATGCTCACAATTGTTACTTATTACATTATATTTCCCTTCTCCGTATCTATTAGCAACAGCTTTTCTGATATGTTTCCGAATCAATTCCGGTCTTTTAAATGGTATGATAAGACGATTCAGAATTACTTCTTTAGTTTCACGATTTTTTAGAAAATAGCTTAAACTGTCTTGTTGTGCTTTTCATTGCTCGCTTGGAATATTATCAAGCCCTCTGATGTGAGCTATTACTTTATTTCCCAAATAAACAGCTATGTGGTAAGTAGTTGTATTGTTTATTCTGACTCCAATAATATCATGTTCTTTTATGTAATATTCTGGGTTTCTATGAATATTTTCTTTCTCTACGTTCGCTTTTTTTATAATATCAGAAAAATAAACTGGCTTATCCCCTCATTCAAGCAAGGCTAAAATAGGATGATTTTTATACACTTCATATTCATCACCTAGTAATTTCTTTTCCATTGAATCGGATTTTCTTTTTGTTTCCCCTATAGAAAATCCAGTAAGGACTTTTATAAAGTAAATATTTTTTTCATTAAATTTCTCCCTCCCTCCCTTAGAAATTTCTTCGTATATTCACAGACCAAGCCTGTATTTTTCTCTTGCTCCTTCACTAACAATCACTGAAAAACAATTTGGGTTGAATCAAGGTGAGAAGTGAGAGAAATACTCTATATTTACTTTTGACTCTTTTCCGGTTATCCAAGAAGTTCAGGTTTTTCCTCATCTTCTAGCTCTTTTTTCTGCTTTTTGTTTTACCTTTTCTTTTATTTGTTCTATCATATTTTTTTAATATTTATTTTTCTTTTTGCGAATTCTCGCAAAGATAAAGATACTAAGAACTAAAAGCACTCCAATTACTCCACAACCAATAACTAAAGCAGTTTTATCATAGTTATTTTCCTTACCAATAGAATCACTCTGCTTCTTTAATAATTCCTCCAATTCCTTCTTTTTACTAATCAAAAGTGCTTCTTCTGCTTGGGTTCTAGATTTACCTTCTAACTCTTTAATTTCCCTCTCTAAAATAGTAATTTGAGTAGTTAAAGGTAATTGCTGGTCTGATTCTTTTTGTTTATTCTCTAAATCCTTTAGTTGCTGTTTTTTTGCCGCTAATTCGGCTTGGTTTTGAGTAGGATTAGTTTCTAATTGCCTGATTTGGGAACGTAATTGTTGTTGTTGAAAATCATTGACCGTGTTATTCATGTCTTGTTGATTTTTTTGTAAGTTTTTTAGTGCCTCCTTCGTATACTTCTCAACATTAAAACGGAATGTGTATGTGTCCATGTTCATATTAATTGCCTCTTGTAGTAATTAAAAGTTAAGTTCTTTAATTACTAGTATCTATATTATAATTTTAGATTTTAACAAACCTGAACAATTAAAATTTTACTTAAAAAATTAACTCCAAAATACCCCCAGGTCTAATTTCTAGTCCCGTTTTTTTCACTGGACTCTTTTTTTTCTCACTGAGCCACTCTACTTAACCATTCTATTTTTGCTTTTATTTCTGGCAATTCTCACTCACCCATTAACTATAAAAAATATCTATTTTTTAATTATTTAAAAAATACTCCAACTAACCATCCCAAAACTGATTTATAGAGAAATGATGAATAACTGTCCCAACGCACTAATTATTGATTATCCATTTCCGAACCAGAAAAACAAAAACAAAAAATCCCCACCTATTATTATTCTTTAATTAACTAAATATGTTCCCCCGCAAAAAACCAGTTACTAAAACCCTAACCCGTTCCCTTTCCGTAGAAACTAAACGAGCTTACCAACTAGTCACCGCTGATTTATTCGCAACTTTCTTGCAAATGAAAGACCACCAAACCATTCGCTTCGGTAATTTAGGTAAGTTTACTAAAAAAGAGCACAAACAAAAAAGTGCTTTAGATAAAAAAACTTATGTTTATTACACACTGAACTTTAAAATGTTTAGTAAATTAAAGCAAGCATTGGCCCAGCAAATCATTAAAAAGTACCGACTAAAATAAGATGCCCAAGTGGAATAAACGCTACTTATTGCTGATTATGGCGGCTCTCTGCTTAGCTCTTTACTTTTTTGGTTCCGGACAAAATCTCCCCGATACTAAATTCCTGCGACCACTCGGCTACTGTTGCTTAGGTTTGAGCGGCCTGTTGCAATTAATGACTAACCAATAAATATGAATAATCTCACTCACTATTGAAAAAAAGAATATCTGTTCCTAATTGTCGCCTTGCTTTGTCTAATTGCTTACTACTATCGCCAACAATTAAACGCTAATCAGTTCACCGAGTATCTGCCCATTTTGGGTGGTCTGGCCTTTGGTTTAAATACCTTAGTGCAAATTGCCAAATAATTAATCACTCATGCCCCTATTTGAAGAAACCAACCCAAAAAATAATAATCAGTCAGCCGACACTAAGCAATCTGACAATTGTGGTTTTGCTAACCAAAAAAATTCAACCCCGACCGAGCAAAAACAAAAATCCAGTCTCCTGACCATTATCGGTCAATTACTCCCGTTAGCTCCCTTTGCTTTTGAACAGTTTACCGGACAAAAAGTTCCCCATATGAGTGGCACCATGGCCGACATTCAAACTAATTTGCAAGTAGTAGTTAACAATCAACAAGCCTTAAGTCAACGACTAATCGCTTTAGAAACAAAGTTACTGGAAATACAAAGTAATGCTAACCAGCATTTAACCAACCTAACCAACCAATTTAAATCACTGCGCCTAACTCACACTAAAGAGCAAAAGCAAATTGAGTATAACCCACCAGAAAACCAAGAAAATTATTAACCAACCATTATGTCCTTCCTACCCGACTTAACTCCTTTAATCAATCAAATCAAAGAATTTAATCAGAATCAAGTTAAAACTAACCAGTTATTAACTGAAATTTTGACTGAACTTAAAAATCAAAAAAAATAAACATGCCTAATATTGAAAACTTAGAAAAAAAACCTTTTATAAATAGCCGTGATAACCTATTAAATGTCCGTCGCGGAGAAATCCTCTACCGGGAAGATCTGACCACTGGATTTGTTTTTGTCGTTGTGGGAACTACTATCTCCTTGGCTGTCGCCGGAACTATTTACGTAGTTGGTAAAAAATTAATCGCTTAACAAAACTATGAACAATAACGAAAATAACAACTGAA